GGGAGATAGAAAAACCCAAACAACTGTCCAAGTTCTCAGTGCTTTGTTTCTATTGAGTCTTGCTCAATCTTGTTATTGGTGGTTCTAAAAAAAAAAGAACCTGCGATAGGGTGTATTTCAGTGCTTTATTTGGGAATGCTGCTTCTTTCTGGAAAAGTTGGGAGGGACCAACTTCACCAGTTTGCTTTGTGATAAGTGGGTATTTTGTGACTGTCCTATGCTATCCATAGCATTGTAAGACTATGCATTATATTTTCTCAAAATTCCAAAAATGTCAAAAGATCAGAGAATGATAGAAAAGAGGCTATATTTACTCCAGAAGTAAAATTGCCAGAGGTTTGTCATTTCTTTCTCCATTAATTGGGGATAGGCTAAACTTCCTGAATTTATGTCCCAGACTAGTAATTCTAACACATTATTTAAAATTAGGAATCTTCTGAATTGTAGCTCATATTGTTAGTATACATAACGATAGATAGATAGATAGATAGATAGATAGATAGATAGATAGATAGATGACTGCAAATTACTGTATATTTTCTAGACAATGAACAATTGTTCTTCAAAATTGGAATTCTGTCAAATGCATTTTAGTTCTAAAAGTATATTTTTGAATATCTTTGCTATGTAAACTCGACATTTGTGACCTTTCAAAATATATTTTTAGTATATTTTTATTACATGAATAGAAGGGTCATGTATTAAATCAGTCTACCATAAACATATTTGAAAATTATTGGTTTTTCAGTAGAACATGACCTTCAAGTACTTTCAATAACTGACACTGAACATTTGTTTACTGTTTTATTTTTCTTCAATTATACCTAAGTAATACAGAAAATCCAAGCGCATTGTCCTGTTCTTCTATGGTCTGTTTTCCTGAAAATGGGTTTTGTCATGTTAATCTTATTTTGACCCAATATAGGTAATAGTGTGCTGTAATGCTGGACTAAGCACCATTTTTGGACGGGTGGGTATATTTGAAATTTTGACAGCATGCTACCCTTGGGCATTCACCAAAAAGTCACTAGGGTAATATGTAACCAGTCATAAAGGAGAGAGGTTATACCAAACATCACCGTAACCCTCACCTCCCAAAGGCTTTAGCTTCCCCAGCTTATCTTTGTCTGGGGAATGGGCAGCTACTCACATTTTATTTTCTAAGAATGTTTGTGAGTCTTTTGTGAGGCTCAGAGGCAGTCTTGGGAATAATAATGATGATGGAAGCTAGCAGCTTCCTATGTATGGATTTATTTGTATTAACTAAAAGAATTGGTAAAAATTCAGAGTGGAAAGTGAACTTGGTACATACCAAGGGAAGTATCTTTGGCCCCTTGGGACCTCTGAACATTATGATGCTTAGCCATAGGTGACTGTTCCTAACCACAGTGATGCCAAAGTGATAGAATATGTATTGTGATGTAACAACATAAGTCCTGTCCTTTCATACTTGTATTGTGATGTTGCACACGTACATAAGGGGTAGAGTTTGTAAAGTGGTATAATGACATACACATTTCTTTGCACATGCCTGTCACCCCAGATGTTTTTGTGCTTAGCTTGCTTCATTTCCATTAGCTCTGTTCACAGAGGCTTCCTAATTTTCCACTGCACTGCAATTGTTTTTTTATCAATACCTCTCAGTGCATAAGCAGATGTGGAGAAATAAGTTTGATTCTTACATAATTTAAAATCTGTTTGCAACTGGCTAGCATGGTGCAGAAATCCAAATTCTAAGGACAACATTGGATTTGAAGTGTGCATGGGCATGCAGGTAGAAATGGTCAGGATTATCTTAAACCAAATATGTAATTTCTCAGGATTATGTACCAGCTGAGTCCACACAGATTTTTTAAAGCATTCAAGACAAGTGTTACAAGGATGCTCTGTACACTCCAAATCATAGTTAAATCTGATCTCTGCAATACCATAGTGCTACCGCTGTTTCTCAAATTCACAAAATTATACTTTCCTCAGTGTTCAGGGTCTCAGAGCTCTTCCTGTCCCTTCAGTTTCAGGAAGGGGGCAGGGTTCTGATAGGTCATTGTTGATACTCATTTCTTATTACCCATGGGATAATTGGATAATCCCACGGCAAAAACAGCACCACACTAAAGCTGCCCAGTGACTTTATAAAACTTTCTTGCATCCACCTTCATTTTGAGCTTAACATGCAGTGTCATGATACAACACTGGTGACTTGACTTCTTTGTTATGATGCTATTTCTGTTTTTAGTTTCCTTCTTAATTCTTTATTTAATTTGTTTTTGTTTTATTTTTTAATGCACAAGATCACAGATATTATGATAAACATCAAACTATTTTTGTGGTAATAGCTATAAAACATTATTTGAGAATCATACCATTGCCCCAAAGGGGCACCAAATCACTGCAGGCTATGAAGCAGTTACGATTCTTGTGGTATTTTCAAGACTTAGGGTTCTGTATACTTTTACTGTACTAAGAAAGGCAATGCCTACCAGGAATATCTGAAATTTCTTTAAAGTAACAGTTTAGGAACTTGTATTATCAAATACATTTGTGCCTAATGCTTTAGCAAAGAATTTTTACTCATTTTCTTTCAATGTATTTTATATTCATATACACATTATGTTATATTCATACAAATTACTTTTTTGTGTTATTACATTACTAGCTGTGTCAACTAGATATTATGTCATCTAATGATGACATAATATCTAGTTGACACAGCTAGTAATGCAATAACAGTTCTTTCTGAGAATTTATGAAATAATAGATGCCGGTATATTGTAGTAAATATATATTAAGCTTTTTTTTTCCTTGCAGAATTCCCAACCTGTGACCCACTGGTTCATTTTATATGTAATAATGGAAGATGTATTAGTAGCAAGTGGCATTGTGATGCAGGTAAGAATCAGTGGTTTAGCTCTAGTTACAAATAATGTTTCTGCCTAACTTTTGGGGATCTTCTTATTCAGCTTCCCTGTAACATAGCCAACCCTGAAGTGGCTAAGGCTGGAAGTTTCATGTGGTGGTGGTGGGAGTTAGCTTTCATGTTACCTGTTACTTGTCATGTTTCATGTAATATGTTCCATATTAGCATCCAAATCACTTTACATATTAGGAATGAGAAAAATTCATTTGATTAAATCTTATAAAAGTGACCTAGTGTTTTGAAGATAAATATTTACTAAAGCATTTAATGATTAATCATGTGACTATAATGCATAGGATTGTCTTATTGATTTCTGAATTTCCACTTCTCCTTGAAGAAGCAACAGGACAAAATGCTCTTTAAACCATTATGTCTCCTGTCAATTAAAATATTTTTGATATTGTGTATGCTGTTTGTATATTTATACGTATAAGCCTGACTCACTTATTGCTTATATCACTTATTTTACTTATTACTCTATACTTCTGTATTTACACAAAAAAGAAATTGATGGTGGAGTTTAATTGACCTGTTATGGTCAGCCTCCCATTATTACTATCCCACAGATTACAATATATTGAATGAAAATATGTGTGCCCAGAATGCCCTAAACCACAAAGTAAAATAAAACAGTATTTATCTTACTTAACAAAATAGGGAGCCACACATAATATATAAGGATACATAAAAATAATAACTGAACTACCTACTGTGGCATCATGCATACATGGGTTTGCATCACTGAAGATAAAGATTATAGAACATTCCCACATTCATTGCTTTGGCAGGACCATGCCTCCTAGCATGCTAGGACCATCATTCCTCTTATATCACCATGATAGTAGCATCCAGTGGAGTATATTCCACCTTTGTTGCCTCAGGTATTGTTAAGCATGTAATAGTTAAAATATCATTAGAATCCAGCATACAGTATGTCCAGGATCTTGAATGTATTTCCCAGACTTTTCATCACTCTGTGTTTTGGTTCTTGCTGTACAAATATTTTGTCAAAGTTTTGTTCCCTGCAAGGCCTTCCAGCCTCCTTGTTCATATCTTTAAGCTTACCTCATGTTTGTAACTCTAGGTGAGAAGCCAAACACTTACTTGGCCCCCATTCTTTTGTCTAAAGCTATTTGCAGAACATAATAGAAAAGGAATTAAAGCTAATGACACTGACGGATATATAGCTGTGTTTAATTAAGACAAAGTCATACTGAAAATCAGGGCTGGCTTAAATGATTTGACTGCCTGAGAAGGAGTAACAAATGGTGCCCTCCCCCAGTCATATAGCATAATACAAAAGCTGTGAATGTTATACTTGCCCTTTGGGGGTCTGAGCCAGATCTGCCAACTTCTTTGGCATGGCAGGAGGCAATTCATTACTCCAGTTCCATGAAGTAAGCTTGCTATTCTCTCATATGTATGTGACACAAAAGATATTTATTGTCGTTTTACTTATTTTACAATATCTGAAAACTGCCCCAACTAAAAAGACACAATAAGGTGAAAAACAACAATAATCAATCCCATAAAAACATAATAATACAACAATTAACAGTAGTAATCAATAATCAATACAGATGGTTGTTCAAAACCTCACTACAAGCCAAAGTTTCAGGGAAATAAAATTATTTTAAGGGCCTTCCAGAATGCAATGATGTACCTCTGGGGACAATGTTTTCACAGTTTGGAGGCTGTTACCAAGAAGCCCTGCCTTTGAACCCATGCACCTGTTATCTTATGCTGATAGTTACTCTGGATTTTCAAATGATCATCTCTACCTTTGCATATCCCTTCCTCCCTTCCTAAGGTGGTCTGTTTTTCTCTGAGGTACTGTGTTAGCACTGGAATAGTGCTGGTGTTTGCATTTTTTTTCCAGGACAGCCTGTACAATAGAAGACACTGCATCAATACTCAGCTGTGGAATGTTTTACAAAGATGGTCTGCAAAGGTGTGGGTTGGATAAACACATAATTAGCCACCCAAAGAATCACAATGACAGAGAAGCAGTCCTTTGTTACTTTCCAAGCTGAGCTCATTGACCATCTGAAAACAAAGATTAACTTTAATAGAAAATTAATAGAAATAGAAAATGAAACCTATTCATAAAAGAATTCCCGCTTACATCCTGAATATTAGACAAGATTTCCGGGAAGCACAGATGAAGAGCTTCTGTGCAATGTCTTTTATATCTTGCATAACACTACCCACTGTAAGATTCTGTTTGGCTGCACAGGTATTGAGTTCTCAATTTATTATAATTATTATCTGGTGAGATATTGTTTTTGTTAATCATATTCATTACTCTCTGCCTTGGCCATTGTAGTCTGCCCTCATGGTCTACCATTAGATCAAACCTAACTTCTGTTTTTAAGACTATTCTAGATATTCTGGGGCAGAGGCCAGTTTGGCTTACAGTCAGAACGGGTGGTAATACACAAACAATCAGCAAACAATCTCTGTACAATCCACAAGAATTTACTAGTCTGAATTATAGCTTCTGAGCAAAATATCTTTCTCATTTGTTTCCTTTTCCACAATTTTTTTAAAAAAAGCTTATTAGTATGTTTTGGTAAATGAGAGCTCATTGTTACAATTCCATTTAAAATCTATATACTCTCTACACCTTCACCATCTTACAAATGTTACTTTGCTGAGCATACATTAACTCCATTCTTGAATGGAGAGTAGAATATGAAGTAAGGGTTTACAAAACTGAAGGAAATACAAAGCTGAATCTATTCTGCTTTCTGCTTAGTTATTGAATACAATAATACACAGACCTGAATAAAATACCTGCACATTTTTACAGATAATGACTGTGGTGATGGGAGTGATGAGCTGGGCTGTCTTCATTCATGTTTTGACAACCAGTTCAGGTGCTCTACTGGCCGGTGCATTCCAGGTCACTGGACTTGTGATGGAGACAATGACTGTGGAGATTTCAGTGATGAAACTAAGCCAAATTGCACCAAGGAAGGTCAGTATTTTCTACTCTCCTCCCAACTTCTAGTAAAAAGCTTGTGAATGCACTGTCAGACTACATCATTGTCAGGTTCATGATTTCTGCTCAATAAGATGATGCATATACAGATTTTTTTTCCTACTTAATTATGGCATTTGTACAAAATATGTACATAGCAATGAGTGGCGTATGTGGGTATATGTGTGTTTATGTGTGTGTGTATGCCATGTATTTATGAAACATGTCAGGGAATATGTTTTAGGTTACACTTTTTGACCATAGTAAAAAATTCATTCATCCTTTAGGTCTAATACACAGAGAGTGAGCTATGAACTATCAGCAGCTGTGTTTGGGTAGTAATGAAAGGGAAGCATGCTGGTAGTTTCTTGGTTTATGATTAGATATTGTATTTTACTGTCTGGGAAAGGGAAAAGTACTTTTGTGCTATGCATGATGACGGAGGGAATGCAGAAAAATCATTTGAGCCAGTCCTGATTTTTAGTATGACTTTGCTTTAGTTCACTAAAACAATATAGCAGTGCAAGTTTCAAAGGTGTAGTTTATAATATGAATTTCTATTAAATAAAAAGCAGAGGAAAAGAATATCATGTTAAAATATTCTGCTATAATATTTTAAATACATGCCAGAAAGGGAATCATCATCATCATCATCTGCAATCTTAAAAGGTGAGGTGAAGAATTTAGCTCATATCAGGACATTAAAATATAGTGTCTTTTCAGTCTGCTTGGACTGAATGTGCATATGGGGTACTAATACAGTTGTTCAGGGATAGTCTGGGTACTAGAATAAGTTATCAGTCTGAAAAAATGCATATTTTGATATAGCAGTCTCTGTAATGATGATGATCCCAACTGGTATTTGCTATAGATTCTTTACTTCATATCATTTGTTCAAGCAGAATTTGAATCATGAAAATATACCAAAGCACTGGATTTTTTTTTATCATATTCTTTGTGTCAGACAAGTTATCAGATACATTTCAACAATGCTTTCAACACTCTGAAATGTGATAAATGAACATTTTGCTCTGCTTAACACTTTTCAAAGCTTTAATTGAAAAAGAGTATGTCTGAGATTCATAGGAATAAGTGCAGCCTCTGAAAAGAACACATAAGTGTCTTCTTCTCCTTGCAGTCAGTAGTCTATCTGATGCTTAACCAGTTTGTCGTTAAATCTTTTGGATGATAATGCTTACATTGAAAGGAACCTTAAAATGTTTTCAGTAACGTGCAACATTTACATATATAAATAATATTAATAAGTTAGAGAAAGCATGCAGTGCATGGCCTCTGGAATTCTTTACCAGCAGCGGCCATAGGAGGTGTCTGTATTTTCTTCTGTGTTACAAAGCAACATGCTTTCCCCATGGACTAAGTTTCTGTGCGTGTGTGTGTGTGAGAGAGAGAAGGCCTAATCAGGGTGGGTGCACGTGGCTTGCTTCTGTGTAGGCTGGTATGTATTTCTGTTCTCTCCTTAAGTGTTTTTTGGGGTATGTATGTTTTGAGAGATCTGGAGTAGGCTGCATATGCTCTACTCAGGGTCACATGTCCAGGAAGGAAAGGGGGAGGGGACTAAGTATGGAGAAGTTGGTACCATTCCAAGCTGTTACCTAACTGCTCTCTCCCCCTTCCCCCCTGGCTTGGGATGAATTGGAAGATTTTTACTGGTTCTTTGTTCTCCATACAGTAGTCACTGGCTGGTCCAGTTCATTTTTGAACCTGCAGGTTCTTCCACCACACCAAATTGTTCTTGTTTTATTTTGTTTTTTCAGAGCTATCTTGCTTATGCTCATACAGACAGACAGAATTCTAGATCCATTGCATAATGTCCTTCCAATATTCCATTGCTTTGGAAAGAATAAAAATGCAATCCTGCATATGCTTGCTTGGAAGTAAGTCCTATTATTTCCAATGCAATTTACACTCAAGTAAGCATGAACAGATTTCAATAATTATATTGTTGTTTCAGTTCAGAAATGTAAACAGTCATTGCACATGCAATCCTAATTCAGTAGTTTCAGTTTCATTGATGGCTACATGTATCAGTAGCAATTTTCAATAGTTGGAACATTTTCAATAATGAAAATCCTTTAATTTAAATGAAACAACTCTATTATATAATTGTAGTTTAGAGCAATAGATCATTTTTCCCAGTGTGTTTTATGTAGAAGAAAACCTCAGATAGCCTTAAAATATAACACATTTTTGCCTTGTAGTTTTCTCTCAAGCTGATACTTTTAATATCACTTGAATGTCTCTTTAAATATTAGTAAAAACAACTTAAATTGTCCATAGTCTATATTTTTACTTGATGTTAAGCCACCATAAACATCTTGTTTAGAAATCAGTTTTACAACTCTGTAAAATTAAGTTCACCATACATACAGCACTGTGCAAAAGTTTTAGACAGGTGTGAAAAAATGCTGTAAAGTAAGAATGCTTTCAAAAATACATACATACAGCACTGTGCAAAAGTTTTAGACAGGTGTGAAAAAATGCTGTAAAGTAAGAATGCTTTCAAAAATACATACATACAGCACTGTGCAAAAGTTTTAGACAGGTGTGAAAAAATGCTGTAAAGTAAGAATGCTTTCAAAAATATATATTGTAATTGTTTATCAATGTACCAAATGCAAAGTAAGCAAACAGAAGAAAAACCCAAATCATAATTTGGTGTGACCACCCTTTGCTTTCAAAACAGCATCAGTTTTTCTAGGTACACTTACACACACGTTTTGAAGAAACTCAGCAGGTAGGTTGTTCCAAACATCTTGGAGAACTAACCACAGATACACGTTTTGAAGAAACTCAGCAGGTAGGTTGTTCCAAACATCTTGGAGAACTAACCACAGATACACGTTTTGAAGAAACTCAGCAGGTAGGTTGTTCCAAACATCTTGGAGAACTAACCACAGATCTCCTGTGGATGTAGGCTGCTTCAGATCCTTCTCTCTCTTCATGTAATCCCAGAGAGACTCAATGATATTGAGATCACGGCTCTCTGGGGGCCAAACCCTCACTTCCAGGACTCCGTGTTCTTCTTTACGCTGAAGAGAGTTCTTAATGACATTGGCTGTATGTTTGGGGTCGTTGTCCTGCTGCAGAATAAATTTGGGGCCAATCACACACCTCCCTGATGGTATGGCATGATGGATAAGTATCTGCCTGTATTTCTTAGCATTGAGGACACCATTGATCCTGACCAACTCTGTTTGCAGAAATGCAGCCCCAAACTTGCAAAGAATCTCCACCATACTTCACTGTTGCCTGCAAACACTCATTATTTTACCGTCCTCCAGCCCTTTGGCAAACAAACTGCCTCCTGCTACAGCCAAATCTTTCAAATTTTGACTCATCAGTCCAAAGCACCTGATGCCATTTTTCTGCACCCCAGTTCCTATGTTTTTGTGCATAGTTGAGTCTCTTAGCCTTGTTTCCATGTCAGAGGTATGGCTTTTTGGCCACAATTCTT